CGGGACGCTCACCAGAGTTTCTCCCCCACTGCAGCCAGGTCCGTGGTTGACCTCTAGAGTTCCTGCTTCATTGCAGCCAGGTCCACGGCCGACCTTCTGAACCCTCTCCTTGCTGTAGAGGTTTCCCGGGCCGACCTCCTGAACTTTTGGCCTTCATCAGTTGTGCCTAGGGGGCCATCTCTGTGACTGTTTTTGTTTTTTTCCCCAGGGATTCCCTGTTGGTTTTTGGTTTTGATTTTTCTGATTTTCTTGGTGTCTCGTCAGCTTTTGTGTCTCGTGTTCCCTGTTGTCATTGTTTTCTGGCCCGCCATCTTGTTGTTGTTGTACCCCCCACCTCTCGTGTCTTTGGCGTATCGTCCAGTGACGATACATAGAGGGGAGGTACTGTGAGGATGTGTTGTCTGGTGTCTCCCTCTTGTGTCCTCCTTGTGTGTGTTACTTATCATCTCAGTCAGTTTCCCTGTCTTTCATTCTCACCGGTCATTAGTTTCTAAATGAGCATTATCCTCAACTGTTCTTCATCTCCTCATTTCCTCTGTTGGTTTATATTCTGGTCATGACCTCCACATCCTCGCTGGCTCATTGTTTGATCTCCCACTGTTAAGGGCTCAACACTCGGGAGGCGACGTTGCTCGCTCTCCATTCATTTCCTATGGAAGTTGTGCGTTGAGGCGACGTTGCTCGCTCTCCTCCAACCAAGCGACCGGTGAACATAGTGTATGTGAAATTTTGCGCTCGTACGCATAGACGTGCACATGCGAGCTTGCGACGCGACCCAGCAAAGTTGAAAAGTGTTCAACTTCTGTCACTGTCACCTGGCATGACAACCAATCAGCGAGGGTTTCATTGACTGACCAATGAGAAGAGAGTATGCTACACACTGCAGTCAGCACCAGTTTCAGCATGGAGGAAAACATTAGTTTGGCCATATCTGACTTCCCGGTTTTATTTGACACTTACCGAAATGATTACAGGGATGTACATAAAAAGGCAGCTGTATGGGAACTTGTTGGTGCCAGACTGAAGTTGTCCAGTAAGTTTTCTACACATAAAGTTGCATTTAAGAGTCCATTTTTGTCAGTTTTTTAAACATTAGTTTCGCAGGATTTGTGCTTGTTGTGGAAATATTCCACCAGGCAGAGATACGGGAATAAACAAAGTGAAACTGCATGGTCTTGGTCTCAGATTATTTAATAGAAGTGCATATATGCAAGAAAGGTGAATGAAATCAGGACAGTCAATCAGGCAGCTCTGTCAAGTTTGCACTAACTTGGAAACAGGAAACAGACCAATGTATACTTCCTGCTAGAAAATAAGAGCGTCAGAGATTTTTCAGGAACCAATAAAATAGTTACAAGTCATACAGGTCATATGAGATGAGAACAAGATTGTAGACATACAGCATGTTATGAGATCAGATTATACACTGAGCAGTTTATCAAAAGACACAGAACAGGAACATGTCCAGGCAATACGCAGTTAGGGACGTGATATGATATTCTTCCACCACATTGTTGTTGATCCTCCAACGTATAGAAATCTATATGTTATATAATGTGTGTATAAATGTAGCCCATATAAAGTTATGTCTTTACTTTTATAATAAATCTATACTTTTACAGTGAAATAATGACATGTATACAAGTATAATCTATAAATATATTTATTTCATTCATGTTTCAATAAAAGAAAATATTAAATCAACTCCAACTGTTTCATTTGCAAGGTATATTATAAAACAATAGTTAATTAAACATATAAAACTTGTCTGAACATATATTAAAGACTCCACGAAGCAATAAAGCACAGTCATTTTTTGGACAAATTGTCAGTGAATTCCATAATTACATTAAAATGGTGAATTGTCCTCAACACCATGCCAGGGGAAAAAACCAGCATCTCTTGTGTTGTCAGTGGGTGGTAACTGTGGAATCCCTCGCTCCATTTCTCTCTTTTGTTACATGTAATTATGAAGAACACATGTTGCCTTCACAACAGAATCAGCTCTTCCTGGGCAGATACCCAGAGCACGGYGACACAKYCGCCACTGGGTAGAAAGGATGCCAAAAGCATTTTCAACTATTCTCTTTGTAGCTGTCTCCCTGGATATGACATAATGACGTGTCGTTGAAGGGGGAAAGCTGGCCCCAGGTCCTCTGCACCTTGTGGTGTCTCCTGGTATGCCCAGTGTGCCTGCCCCCAGATGTTTCCCTAGTGGAGACKCTGAGAAGATGCCCCCATCACTGTCCTCCCACAATGACTCTAAACATGTAATTAGCATCAACCAGAGCTAAAAGGAAAACAGAATGTGATCCTTGGTATTTGAAGTATTTGGAGCCAGACGATGGAGGAGCTTGAAGCACAACATGTTTCCCATCTAGTGCACCAATGCAGTTTGGGATRTTCCATCGTGTTTTGAAATCCTCTGCAATGGATTTCCAGTCATCTGTTGTTGGCTCTGGCATGTATTCAGGCTGCAGCACATCCCAAATGGCCTGTGAGACGTCATCCACTATCTTTCCAGTAGTTGAGTTTCCCAAACAGTGAACCCAACAGTTGCAAAGGAATCTGAAGAAAATGTATAAATAAGAAATWATGGTACAGTTAAAAGCAACAGTATAAATACTATAACAGTATAATATTTACTGACTTAAATCTAAATTACATTTTTTTAAAGTTCCTAATATATGTTTTTGTAAGTGTGGGATTGTGTAGCACATACTGTATGATGCTGATTCTAATATTAAATTAAAGTTTGGTGATGCGTTACAGGCTTTTGTCGGAAGATCGAAACAGGAAGGATTATGGTTGCATTGGAAACACAGGAAACAAAAATGGTGCAAAATGTGAATTGCATTAAAGTTGAGAAATTATTTACTATATACACAAAAAGGTTCTGTCACCTGTTAATGAACATGTTCAATATTTCAATAATCACAAAATTTGTGAAGACTTGATGATCAGATTTTCCAAAATCCAAATACTGATATTGATCCCACACAAGAAGCAGAAGTCCACTTGAGTTGAACTGTGTAACAGTTTGATAGTTAAATACAGAAACAGTCTTTAGCAGGCTTAGCTGTTTGAACAGTTCTTGTGAGTGTGTGGAGGAGCAGGCTGCAGCACCTCCTACTCCACAGATCCAACAGTTCTACCTCCAGGTTCTTTGGCTGGAGCTTTAATGGTAGCTCGCCATCCAAGAAAAACCTGGCCTGTGTGAACAGGGCCAACATTAATAACATTTTTTAGTGTTAGACAATATAAAAATCACTATTAATACCATAAATTATTTTTTTCAAATAAATGGGATTATTATATTGATTAATCTCATGTACATGATTCACATAATTGTCATAATTTAAGTATACAAACAATAAGTCACAAATGGAGCTACTCTTATATTCATCCTTATTTGGAAATAAATGTTAAATACTGCACAGTAATGTATTATTTGAAACAGTTTTTCCATTAAATAATGTTGAACCACTTAAATTTAAAGGCTACCAGTGAACAAACAAATCACAAACACAAGTTCATTTGCTTCCAATTTCTAAACATAAGAAAACCCATTTTCTTGAGGAGTAGAGGCATCTAAGAACTGCAGCAGCTCTGAACTTCTCCCAAATACATGGTTTCCCAAACAAAGAATGGGCGCGGCCATTTTTAAAAACTCAGGTCCCACAAAATCTTGCGGGATTTCACATTTAGTCTGAGAATGGTGGACAGGAAACATAACAGGGAGAGAATGGCCTAAAGTATTTTAAGAAATGACTGGGTTACAATTGACTTGTTTTGATCTTGTTTTTACAGGTGAAGAGGTCAAAAAGCACCGGAAAAACCTCAGAGACACCTTCATTAGGGCCCGTAATAAAAAAATAAAAATTAAAATAAAAAAAAACAGAAAATGAGAGAAAATGGCAAAAGCAGTGGGAGGAAGAAAGAAAAGTTTGATGGTTTTAAAGAATTCAGTGGAAAACGGGAGAAAAGAGGAGCGCTGGAAGAAACAGAAGAGAGGAAACTGTCATTTCACGTCTCAGATTTGGACACACTGCTTTAAACAAAACATTATTTATTATAGGAAAACATAATAYAGGAAAATGTGAGTACTGTGGAGAAGATGAAGATGTAGAACATGTATTATACTGCTGAAAATACAGAAATTAAGAATTCAATTAATTGACTCAATGAAAAGAAAATAAGCTTAAATCATGTAGAAATTTCAAGGGGACATTCAAAATCAGAAAGTAGTCTCACATGAGACAAACACACTTGTTAGAAAGAAACTGAGTTTTTTTTAGCGTCGATTCAGTCCACACTCCACATCAGTAGGTGGCGATAATGCACCTTATAGTGTTCGCCAACCGCCAAAAAACAAGAAACATACAGGACTTATACACTTTTTGCAATACAAAAACATTTTTTATTGAACCAGTTCAAACATTTACACACAAAAAACACAATGACATTCTCATATACAAAAATCAACAATTCACATTTACATTTAGAGCACAACTCCTTCAATGTTATAGAACAAGAACATTTTTCTTTCTTTTTAACAAGCCTAATAAACATAAAAGTTTAACTAAAAATAAAAAAAACAGTTCAATGATTTCAATGAATTCAATGCAATACAAAAACATAATACAGGGAAATGTGATTATTGTGGACAAAATGAAACCATAGAAGTACAAACAGAGACAATTTATGATAAAACAGTACAGAAACATTAAGGAAAGGTTTGTCATAACGTATATTACAAAGGAATTTAAGGAGCAAACATATACAAATCATGACACGATTTTTGAAAAAAACGAAATTGTTTAACAGAATTTGAGTTTATTTATTTTTATTTATTTATTTTCTTTGAATAGATAGCTTTGAAAATGTAAAAAGAAATACAATAATAGTAGTAGGATATAAATATTAGTGAAATCATCTTGAACCACACTCCATACCAGTAGGTGGCGGTAATGCACACCTTCAGTTTATTGCCAACAGACATTAAACACCAGAAGAAGAAGAAGGAAAAACAACAACAACAACAAGAAGARTGAGTCAAAAGATGGCAGTAATGACACTGTGATGGATGCAGGTTGCCCTTAAAAACCGGAGAAGAAGAAGAACTTGTCGCGTGAACTCGACAGCGAGTTGTTGACYGGAGCTCAGCGGGTGGAGCTGCAATGTGAGGACCACTGGGTTCGTGACGTGGCCGAGCACCTTGTTGTTTAAACAGACCGAGCCCACACTGAGTCCGGTTCCGATGGGAACGGGTTGTTGTGTGAGCTGCTGACAACAGAGCTGCGGCCGTGGGCCTGGAGGGGCGGCAGCTGCCGGGACACCATGGGGCTGAGAGCCGCCCTGAGCTGCCTGCTGCTCGGAGGCTTCCTGCGCCTCTCTGCAGGTATGTGCACCATCAGGACAGGCTTTGGATCAGAACCACGGTTGGTTTCGGATCATACCATACAGGTCAGACTAACAGGACAGCATGCGGGTCATTTAGGACAGGGATGTCCAAAGTGTGGCCCGGGGGCCGTTTGTGGCCCCTGAACTGATTTTGTGTGGCCCCTGACTGAATTATACTAATTTGTTTACATATTTCTCCTCCTGGCACAGTTTGATGTAGATGGAGACTTTTTATTTATTATTAGGGCAAATTTATCATAAAGTTAAATTTTCCAATAAAAATATTAACAATACAAATTATTTGTCTTTAAATCTGAGCTTTTTCCACATCTATCTGGTGACTTCTAATCAAACCTGATTTTTCTGCACTTAAATCTGCTTTTAATTAATTGATTAAATTCATCTGAACACAGCAAGCATTTTCAACAAAACASTGACCTAAATCCTGATTTATTGATCAGAATTGACTAAATTGGTTTATTTTTCCCTCAATTGAAACTTAGAAAGTTGTAAAATTTCTTTCAATAAGGGAAACCTGCAAAACACTTTTAAACTTCTGGATCTTGATTAATTTACATCCATTTCCAGCAATAAATCTGACTTTTATTTGTTTAATTAAAGTATTCAATGCTTAGTTTATTGTTCTGGAGGTAAAGGAAAMATATTTTCGGCCCTCAGGTCCTTCTGACTGATGATTTTGGTGATAAAATGTTTGGACAGCCCTGGTTTAGGAGATTATCACTGCCTTTTAATACTGGAGAAGTAAAAAAGTGCTAACAAGAACTTGCGTAATATAGCTTCTTTGGTTAATCTAAAAAGTGCGTTCTCGGAGAAAATAAACTAAAAAAAGGTGCAATAAATATATTTCATAAGCAGTGGAGGCTGGTTGATTTTTCTCCAGGTGGGGCTACAACTCCAAAATAGGCTCATCTCCAAAGCTATCAAACATGCTAAGTTGTATAACAACAATGTATTTATTAAACAAATGAAAATAATAAAACAGCGTTACGATGTCATATAGTGTTTTATTTTTTTGTACATAAATTTTTCTCTTCTGTTACTGAGAATCAAATG